CTGATTCTATGACCGCATTTGTAAAGCTCAGCACAGTTCTTAGCTGTTGAAGAAAAATATTTTTGTCTTGTCGGCTATCTTACCCATAAATGTTTGAACAGTTGGAAATGTAGAGTACCTTGATTACTAATACAAAGAGTCTGAAAAAGGGAGAGAAAATGGGGAAGAAAAAGTCTTTGGAGATAAAGTGAACGCAGCAATTATTGAAAACCAAAAGATGAAGAAATATATTCCAAGTTTCTAGAGCTTTTTTTTCTTTATTGTTTCTTTGTTTTGTTTTTTTTGTGTGTGTGTGTGTGTGTGTGTGTTTGTGTTTCTTTTATATTGTAAGAAATAGACAACTTTTTTTGAGAGAAATGTTTCGGCATGCTTATGCCATCTTCAATCAATGAGTAACAGAACGTCAGTAATTATATAACAGACAAGTAGATGAATAAAATATTTACAGTATGATGTAATACAAAAGCGGGTACTAATTACAACGTGATTACACGTTACTTTAAACTCCCTTTTGTCCGCTATTATTCTAAAATAGCGAACCTCAAACTCCGAGAACTCACTAAGCGCTTTTGTAAATCGGACCTAAATATCAAACTAGTTTTCACTTCTTTTAAATTAAAAACATGTTAAGTGTTAAAGATCGTACTCCTGATGATCTAAAATCCATGGTAGTTTATCAATTTTCTTGCCGAGATGTAATTTTCGTTATATTGGCGAAATATTTTATTCATCTACTTGTCTGTTATATAATTACTCACGTTCTGTCACTCATTGATTGAGGATGGCATAAGCATGCCGAAACATTTCTCTCAAAAAAGTTGTCTATTTCTTACAATATTTATCATACTTGCTACTACTACGACCTTTTTTTTATCATTAGAGCTATATTAAATGAAAAGAGAGGATCACTTTCTTCTCTCATGATATGAAATGGTTAAAATAGTTAACAGTGTGTTAAGGACTTTAAAATGGGTTAAGAGAGTGATATAACAGTCTTTTTGACAAAAGACTTCATTCTGTGGATTACTGAGTTGGTAATTAAGCAGATGTTTGTGGGGGAAATTTGAGCAAACCACGCTTCACATAATATTTACGCGCAACCCTAAGTTATTAAACAGCTGACCGAAAACACCACCCTTACAAGATGTCCCTCCCGATAAAAATTTCTCGCCGTTCAACATTCCTAGTTTTGTCCCTCAGTTCTTGGAAGTAACGTTTAGCTCGAAGTCCAAAATGGGTTCAAGACAGATAAAACTGAGATGATTCACAGATTTTATTTAAATTTCCTTAACAGAACTGTTAAACCAAATATTCTGTTCAAATGCATTTCTGAACCATGTTGACAAAACAAATCATGTCGCTAGTCTCAATATTTTGCCTTATTGAAGAACTTATATCCAAACCTTAATTACCACTTGTGTTATTTCCTTTTAATGTGCCCACCTGCTTCGAAATTTAGTTAGCACGAGCTCAATGTAAACGGATTGTATCCATAAGTGGAAAAACTTACAAAACTGCTTGATTCATTGACTAACAATAATCTTTCTCTTCACAAAACTCTTAACCCAAACTCATATATCGTTTTTGGACTTCAAATTGAGTAAATTTCGGAGCAATTTTTTTCTCTTTAATTAAGGCGTAAGAGAATTTGTTTGTCGACCAAACACCGAAACGCTGTTATATTTTCCACAAGCAAAGGTTTATTTGTTTCAGATCAAATTTTATAGATAAATAGTCTGTCAACTTTGAGAAAAACAATTGATAACTATCAGGAGCAAAGAGAATCTTACCTCGGACAAGTGATTTTCTTATTTCTTGCGGACAGCCTCCAATGGTCTTTTTGTGGTTCATCGGAGCTGCGCCTGTGAAAGCTAAACTTTGAATCATGGTGTAACATGCCACGAGAAGCAAAGTAGGACCTAGGTAAATAGAACTCATCATATAATGTACTTTGCCACTCAAGTTACGAAACATACGTTAATGCAACGCTAGCTATAAACTGAGAGCTGCTTCAGCTTTTATTTATACCCATTTAGGGCGTGGTTTCCTTTGCCGAAGGCAGTTGCATTTGTGATTCTATGCGTTGGTAGCGCGGTATTCTCGATGAAGTGTTTACTTTATTCCGAAATGTCACAGTCCTAGGTTACAAACTAGATATGCTAATTTTACGGTACATTGCAAATGCACGCGCAATGGGCTACATATGCTTATTTACTGTGAATTGCATATGCACGTACAACTATGCCATGCAGTTTCTGTATAGCAAAGATATCAGTGACGTCACCTACTGTTATTAATATGCCAACAAGAGAACTATTAGCTAGTGAAACAAAGAGTTCTTTTGTTTAAGGTTTAAAACATTTAAATAACAAAGACAATGTTTGTAAACAAATATCTTATCTATAGGAAACTTGTTTCACCCATCTTATCGGGGTACAAGTCGTGGGTCGTGGGTGCGGGTGTGGGTGTGGGTAAAAGTCGTGAGTGTGGATAATACATAACAATTAATGGTTAAGAGCTCATATTTAATAGTGTTAATAGTACCACTTGACTGGCTTTTTTCGCGAAACGTGACCTGAACCGCTGTTATTCTTCTTTTCTAAAAGTATCCTGTAACCGTCTCAAAACAAGACGTGAAACATGACTTTCATTAGCTACCGTGAAGTAATACAATACTTCTCGACGAACAATGAAACGTATGTTTCTTGAGTACGTCACATTTCGCAACTTTGCAGAGTCTGGTCTTTATCAGATAAGAAATGAATCGTTTAAAAATTGAAATAATTGAAATTATTATAACCTCTTTATTTATTAATCTACCTTTTTCAATAATTCTTCATATCTAGTTTATTTTATGATTTAGAAAAAGACCTGGCCAGTTAAATGGACGAAGAAAAATTTTAAGATTGTGCTAATTGGTTCTTCGTTTAATTTCTTATCACCGATGCCAGTTGTCGTGACCAATTTAACATTAGCTTGCGATTTCCGGTTGTCGATTGTACCGCACACTGGATACCAGAGGTTTTATATTTTCGTGCCTTGGAAAAACCTTGGAGCCAACATCTCCAGACCTGCAACTAACGTTGCAACGTTGCTATCCATATATCGGCTTATCTTGCAACAGTTTGCTTTTTCACCTCATTTTTCTTCTCAGATGCGGGGTAGATGGTACGCGATACGGAGGTGACAATTGATGAAGCATTCGGCTCTTTGTCTGAATGTCATTGATCAACACAAGCTTTATTTTCCCTAACCAGCAGAGTGATATACTTCTACTTCTGAAATTTCATTTATTTTTAACCGGCACTGAGAGCACAAATTAATTTTAATTCAAGAACACGGCCAATAGCCGCGTTTCTGATCCTCGAAGCTTCTTTCAGATTCTGAAAACGTTGTTCTTTTAAGTTTAACACTTCTCTCTTTTCGGTGTAAGATTATTTTTTTGTGTGTTGATCAAGCGTTTGACGTGAACTAAACTCCTCAAACTCTTTGGAATGACCCTCATTTTAAGAGATTACATCATCCTGCAAATAAGGGCTTTGTCTTTGGTTTCACTTCTCTTTTTAGGTGAAATGAATTAATTCCGTTCGATGAAGTCAATGAAACACTAGGCTCACTAAACGGAGCTGATACAGTGACAAGGGCTGTATAATATTTATGTATTATTATAACTAATATTTTAAATGATTATTGTCATTGTTAAGTATAAATCACACCCACGACTTTTACCCACACCCACACCCACGACCGACGACTTGTACCCACGACCCACGACCCACGACCATTAGTCAAACTCGTCCTTTTCCGAGAAGACTAGAATATCAATCCATTTCTTGATATTATAGAAAGGTAGCAAATTCTACTCTGTTATTTTAAGACCATGACTATTGGTCCGCACAGGCCTCGAACCCTCGACCTCCCGGACAACACAATCCGGCGCTCTAACCAATTGAGCTAACCGGTGGGCAGTTATACACCCAAAGATGATAAATTCCGCAACTTTTCACTTCCTAACAAACAATATTCCATGTAAAGAAGCGTATTAAGATCGTTGTTCATTTATTTGCCACGGCATCTTTGCGAGTTTATATCAAATGGTAAATTGCTCCAATATTCAATCCATGATTACACTTCTTACAACTTCGAATTTTTTTCGCGGCTTGTTTCATTTCTCTTAAAGCTAAACACGAAATTTTTAAATATGCAACAAATGCAGCATTGTTTCTGTTTTGTTTGTTTACCAAGTGTGCAATTAAAATCGTCACAGGTGTTATCTAAGGAAGGAAATACGCCGGAAATGACGTTTTTAATAATCAGAAAGAGAAAACATAGGTCTTTTTCATGTTTTGTTGTGTTTTTGTCTTTTTCCATTTTAATAGGAAAACGAGGCCCGTATCAATTGTTGGCATTTATAGCCATCATTAAATCGAAAAGAAGAGTTGTGTAGACTTTGGGCCGGATGTAGACTTCAAGCAAACATTCTGAGTGTGTGGTTTATTAACACCAATTCATACCTCAGGTTGGACTATTCCGTAGAAATGTCTTGCTACTGTCGAGCCAGGCCAAATGAATTTGACCCGACTACAGAAAAGCAGTTACTGAAAAGGTCTGTAAAGGTAAAAAATCCGACCCCACAGACGCTTTGGTCGGTTTAACCAACGAGTCGGTAGTACTGGTAGTGTCTTGGCCGCCGCCAAAGTCTGTTCGAGTAAACTTCGCTGCATTTGAACGCACTTTTAATTTCGCAGTACATTTTGAATTCTTAGCATTTATATGTTGTAAGACTTGCACGAATTCATTCACTTGGCGAATATCACTTTGGTTTCGCTGTTCGCTAACTGATAATAATCTTCGTGATATCAACATGTTTTATTTCATTGACGTTCCATTATTGAGACGTTACACCTTTCCCTTTTTTCAACATACTACTACATCTTAGCTTTCAGTTGATGTAAGTTTCACATTTAACGTTGTTGAGGCTGGCACTGCAAATCAACGCGTTGTAGGCCATAAACTTTATTGAATCATAGACCGTAAATCGAAGGTCGCAAACGATTACAGAAACGGTTATAAAACAGTAAAAACTAAAGTAATGAGTTAAAAAAATAACAAAATAAACATAAACAATAACTTAATGAACATCAGGGCGAGAAACAACTTGCACAAAACTACGAGGGCACACCGGCAAACACGTGTGAGAAAACTCAAGCCTTTTTTCATATGACTAAGAGTGCGACTATGCTGGGGTCAAGAGGCGTCGACGCAAAGGAGAGATAAGAAAAAAAATTAATACAATATTATAAAGGAAAACAAGAAAACACCTCACGTCCTATTTTTGACTAAACAAACGTTTTAGTCAAATCGCCACTGGTGGCGACTTCACTTTGGATAGTATTGATCGTTGATAAAGACTAAATGGTTCCCAATTTAGTTTCTCCTTTTCGTTTATAATTACGTGGGATGCCTGTAAAGCAATGCACGTTGGGAATCTGTCTGGGCTTGTTGTTCATGGTAGTTACAAATTGCGAGATGGATATTAAGATTTAAAGGAGCCCCCAGGGGGCTTGTCCAAAGCTGGGTTAAGAAAAATCAGCCTTACAGCGTGGAATTTGATTTCGAATCTGAAAGCCTCGAAAAACAATTCAGTTGAATTGCATTTGTCTACAATTTGATGATTGAATGCTCAAAAAAAAGAATTGGAAAAACTATCCCAGCGCTAATCCGCCTTCGAACAACTGGGCTTTGTTGTTTAAATCTAGTCTTAGAAATCGACGATTTGGGTCTCAATGGGTTTTAACCGTCAGCCGTGGAAGGGTCTAAAAATTTAACTGTCAGTCGTTAAAATGGATAAATTTTTACCGTCAACCGTTTATTAACAGGTTGTCGGATCTCGTTATTTTCCCTATTGTCGCTGCTTACCGCAAACAGTTGAAGTTCGGTCAGAGTACTCGCACACTATATAACAATCGTTCTATTTCTTGCTGATTCGTAGCGAGGGCATACTGTAGTTTGTGAAACGAAACAAAACGAAATAGAAATAGAAATCTGTAATTTTTGAAACTAACTCAAAATCTGTAATTCTGAAAAGGAAATCTGTAATACCAATGCATTGGTATTTGTGGTTTAGTACTAAGAGTTCAATGGAGCTTGGCCATCAGGTTGGATTGCACAAAAATACGGGTCATTATCCATCAGCCATTAATTGCTTGGGTTGGGATCACCACTGGCAGTGCAGGAGCACTTTGGTTCTTTGGATCTTTGACTGAACTGGGCGTCTGAGGAATAAAGGTGAGAGAATTATTAATAATTATTAATATAAATAACTATATGTTTGGAAATCTCTCTCCCCCTACGGATAGTGCAAATCTATTTTTTCATGTCTTTCGCTTTATTTTTCTATCCGCGATGTCCTTTATTTCACTCTTTCATACCACACCATTACCTTTTTGTAAGAAGAAAATATTATCTAACATATCAAAATATCTCTGAAGACTGAGAAAATACTGCCCATCTTCTCTTACTTCATGGACTGAGACGTAAATGAAACACTTTAAAGATAGACTATCAGCACCTCATGTGAAATAAACTCTCATTTTTTAAATGAGTGCCTCTAACCTTGATCTGCTATCTGTAAAAAGGCCACTCGTGATATCCTTTTTCCGATGTCGTTATTGGCGACGCAGTGGTATTTTCCATGATCTTCCCTATTAGTTGCTGTTAATAATAGCTGACTGAGAACAGTTTTGTTGTCTAACAAAATAATCCTCTCCTCTACTCTTGGGTTGGTTTTGTTGGTTTGTAGAGCATATGAATCATTATTTTTCATCCACAAGATGGTTACTTTTGGTTGACCGGTGGCAGTGCAGTTCAGAGTAACATTAGAGTTGATAAAAACGCGTTGACTCTTCGGATCTTCAACAATGTTAATGTTTTGGTTTTCTGAATAAACAAATTGAGACAGTCACTAATGTTTATGTATTTAATATTTATTGTTTTTCTTTCCCCTCTGACGTTTTATCCATTCTTAACAAACCATTACCTTCCCATTGAAGGTAATTTTGTAAGGAGGAAAAATTATCCAACATTAGTTCTGAAGAACGAATTTGAGACATACACTAATGTTTATTTTTGTTACAATGAAAATACAGAAAGGAAATATAACGCAGAGGGTGATGAAGCGATGGTGCGTCTCGCGTTCTGATGTAAAGTCAACAGTATGTTACACGTAAGAAAGGTCAGCGATTCTAAAAGCATAGATAACTGGGCTGATAAAGAATAAGAAGACATGGAGGAAAACACGACAAATGATGCAAGAAATATTGCATTTGGCTTTTAGTAAAAGCGGTTATAATAAAAGAGCTAAACATCCTACAGGTTTTTCTTTCAGAAAATTTTAAGTAGTTTATTGGAGGGTGGTGAGGTTTAAACGCGAAGCGTGATTGAGGCCAAAGTTAATATGTGTTGCTTGGGTTTCACGAAAAGGCAGGCGTAGTACGTTTATGTGTACATGTGAACCAGCGCGAGGCAAGATTTGCCTCCTGAAGTATGTGAGATCTGTGACGGGGCCCCGACACACGAGAGGAGAAATTTGAATGCTAACCTTTTATTCTTTTGACGCCTGAAATGCTTCTTAAAATATACCCGACGCGGGAATTTTTCTAACTGGGATAAGGAACCCTGACGAAAATACAAATTTAAAATAAAAATGGGGAATGAGATCGTCAGCACACCAACACGACGGGCAGCTAATTAAAGAATCTAATTCCAATAACATAATATGATGCAATGCTGATGGGGTTTTCATTTTATCTTTCTTTCTACGCCACATTCTTTCCGCTTACCAATCATCAGTGGAGTGTTATTCTTGCATATTTTTCGCTCTTCTGTTGCTTACCTTGCGGACGAATTTCGACTGATTTTCTCCTGCAGTGTTTACGATATGGATTTCCTGCTTCACACGTGTAGCCTCCGAGTTTCTCTGCCGTCAGCTTTTTGAGCATTAATGTACATCTTAGTTTTAACACCATTCTTCTACCCTGCACACATTTTTGTCCAACTGGCCTGCCCTGTGGATCGTACCACTGAATATACTTGGTCCATCTATCATAATATCCTGCATCAATACTCCTTGGCTGCGCCATACAAGTCAGATTGATCGCTGTACCTATGGCTAGTTTCTGCGTTGGTGGACTTGTGGAAATCTCTACATCGGGTATTACTGGAGGAGGGAGAGAGATATAAACATAGATAAATCTTATGGCAGATGGAAAAAAAATTGCAACCGCAATTCTGAACTTCTGAACTCATAAAAAAAATAGCGTACTTGCCTTAAAAAAAAAAATAT